GGAGAGGAAGGTGAGAAGGGGGAACAGAGGAGGGGAAGGGGTAGAAAGGGGAAGTGTAAGGGAGGGAAAATGGGGGCATAGAAGAGGGGAAGGAAGGGGGGGAGCTGGTGAGGAGAGAAGTTGATTAGGGAGGGGGTGAGGGAAGGGGAGGAGTTGGGGTAAAGGAGAAGATTTGGGAAGGAAGAGGCAAGGAGGAGGGAGGGAAGGGAGGGGAGAAGGAGGGGAGGGGAGGCCAATGGTCGTGGAGTAAAGGGGAATATATAAAGGTAAAACTGAAGGAGAGCTGAGAGGAAGAAGGAGATGTGAGGGAAAGGGGAGTGAGGAAGGAAGTTGGTGAGGTAAGGTAGAAGTTTACAAGGATGGGGGGAGGGAGGGGAGGGGTGAGGGCAGGGAGGGGGGGAGAGGGACTGTTGCGCCACAGTCAATGCTGGGCGCGCCGCCCCCTACCTGAGGGCTCACCTGGCGGGCCCAGCTAGTCCTCAGCCGCGGGCCCGACGGAGCTGAGCGTCGCCCAGGCTCCTCAGTCCCTCGTCACCCTGTCCCACGACGTCAAGGGAAACAGTAGGGACTCATAGAGACACCTCGGCGCGTCCCTCGTCGTCGTCAGAGTCCTCGCGGACACACCCATGGCTTCAGTACCAGTGTAAAGGACAAAAAGTATACAAAACACTAGTGTCTGTGGCAGTAATGTTGTTGTTGAGGATCGCGTGTGTGGCCGCGGACAAGTGGAGAGATATATTGCGTTTATTCTCTTTGTTAACGGAAATAAGTCGGTGTCTCGTGAGGGTCTGTGACTGATGAGGAAATATTGCTTACAGCCTCAGTTCATGACAGAACAACTTGTGTCGCGTTCTTGTATATCATCCACTCTTTACAACTATTGTGTTGCTTCCAGGTTGTGTTCGTAAGTCTGTGTGGTTGAATGTGAACAATATACCTGCAACCAATTCATGCAAAGAAACTCTGATGGTTGAAATAGCTTATAAAAAGGTTGCCTATGATAACAGTCTGGCGTGAGGTTGTCTGGTGGCAGCTTCGTGATCACTAGCGTCAGTTTCTGTTTCGTGTAAACAATGGACGCCTTGACCGCATATCGTAACCTCATTCAACACCACCAACTCATGACATCACACGCCGCGCCGCCCTCCATGAGTAACCGAGGCGCAGGATGTCGATGCGGAAGGACTCTGGGTATCCTTACGAAGTCTTGCGAACACGGGCGAAGGACATAGCAATGGTTGGAGTACCCTGATGCAGGACTCAGCCCAGGGGTCCTAGAGGTGGCAGCCGTGCCATGTTCTGTGTATTGCATATTGATTATTGGCACGTGCCCGGCCAGGTAAGGTGGCTGTAACAGAGCCTCCACACCGCCTCTGCTGCTGCTGCTGCTGTCGGGTCTCCTGCTGGCATTGATTGAGGCCGCGTCCACCTGGCCTCCCACACGAGGTTAGGTTCCTCGGGCCGGACATGCCCCCTGCCTCAACACCTTCCGTCACGTCTGATACTCAAACCCTTGTTTATCTCTTGTCATTAATCGAACTGTTATCTGTCGTGTCTTCATGCCAAGGTGAAGTTGTTTAATAATAACGCGCAACATTTCTCATGCTTTTTGTGTCAAGACTTCTCCTCACGTCTTCTTCTCCCCAACACTCAAGAAACTCTCTCTATCATCACTATTTATCCTAACGTGAAGTTTTTAAAATGTTTGTTTTTGTTGTTATGCGCAACTAAACAATTCCTACACAAAGCAAGACTGAGATTTTTACAAACTTATTTATGTAACTTTGTCCACGTGCTGAAATCATCCTTCCCCTCCCCTCACCGCGTCAGGGATTAATGGTCTATAATCCTCCCCTCGTGTTAGAGTCCTTCCTCCCTTCAGTATACGGTCCTGTCATGCATTCAAGTACGCTTCTCCCCGCTCCACCGTTCTTCCACAAGCTGGGATACAACGCCCCACTGTTTCAAATACTCCGTGGATCTCTGCACCCCATCCCATCCCTCTCACTCTGTACCTAGTGTCTTCTTTAACATCTTACTCACAGTCTGCTCTCCTCCTCCTCCTCCTCCCCGTCATAACCTGTCCTGCCTCTACTTCTCCCTCAAAAATAGATAGAAAAATGAAAGGATCTTGAGCAAGTCATTTTTTTCAGTGAGCAAGCCAGTCAGTCAGTCAGTCAGAGGGTCAGTTAGTTACTTAGTCAGTTAGTAACTTAGTTAACCAGTCACTCTCTCAGTCAGTCTGTTACTCAGTCAGTCATACACTCAGTCAAATTTTGCATTCATAGAGCTGTAGTACAGTTTTATCTCAGGCCATGGAAGTTGTCATGCCACGCCCCAGAGAGTATACGATGCCACGCCCAAGGGGTTGTTATACCACGCTCCTGGAATTGTCATCCCACGCCCTAAGGTTTGTCATGCCACGCCCCAGAGAATATGATGCCACGCCCTTGGGACTGTTGTCCCACACCCCAAGAATTGTCATGCCACGCCCCGGAGATTAATGGAATACAGTTACACACACACACACACACACACACACACAGCTCTGGAGGTATTGCCAGTGAGAAAAACACCTCTACCAGGTCCAGGGTGGCCAATGGTAGCCAGGAACTACCACTGGAGTCATTTGTAAACATTTTACGCTGTAGGGATCACCACTGGTCCTCGGAAACTGCACCACTGGAGTAGACACGAGAGATGACCACTGGAGTAGAATAGAGCAGCTCAGGCCCGGGGGTACTAGCGCCTCCCTCACCCCTGGATGGACTTACAGCCTCCGCTTTAAAACGCCCGGCGCCGCGGGAGCTGTCATGACCAGGGCGTGTGAGAGCTGCCTCCTCCAGGGTGTGTGTTCGGGGGGGGGGGCTGCTGTCTGTCTCACTCCATTTGTTTTGTCTATACATAATTATATAAGTATAACATAATAATAATAATAATGGTTGCCCCTCGTGTAATGAGGGTGGCTGGCCCAAAGGCCACCTAGGCGTGAATTTGTTTAAGGTGTAGAAGCTGTCGCCAACACAACAACCACACCCTAAGTTAACGAGTTGCATGACCGGACAACTCGCCAACTGCACTGGCTAACCATTACCCCGGAACACGATCCGCAAATCGATTAACATCCAGGTTCCCAATTACTGCTGGGTAGACAGAGGCAAATGGCGTAAACAAACTTGCCCATAGTTTCACCCTGCCCGGGGATCAAACCCGGGCCCACTCGCTTGCGAGGCGAGCATGCTGACCATTACACCAAAGGTCGCCACATACATATATACATATATACATTTATACATACATACATACATACATACATACATATATACATACATACATACATACATACACAGCATAAATCTCAAATCTTTAACCTTTAACCTCATCCACACCACACCCACTGTGTTACTAAACGACCTGCCTGTACTCTAACACCCTCACCAACCACCTGTACTCTAAACAATGAGTACATGGACGGAGTACTCGTTAAAATTCTGTATCAAACTGTACCAACAAAACTCCGTCATAAAAGCCATTCCATACCCAACTCTCTTAATTACAGTAACTCCTGTATTTTATGTAACCAGTTATACGAAAAAATAAATGAATTTTTAATGATTTTTGTAATCTATCAGAATACAGTGACTTTGTAATAAGGGGGTCATTATTCCCTTCTTCCTCGGAGTTCAGGTAAAATTGGAATGGTGTAATTTTCGCGGAAGTACTGTATCGTGTCTGTCAACTTAACATTCCGCGAAGCTGTAACATGTAGATCAGGTGAGAGATAGAGACAGACAGACAGACAGACAGACAGACAGACGGGGAGAGAGAAAAAACAGACGAACAGACAGACATACAGACAGACGGGAGAAAAAGAAAAGCAGACAAACTGAGGGAAAAAAAAAAACCGATAGACAGATAAACAAGAAGAGAGAGAGAGAGAGAGAGAGAGAGAGAGAGTACACAGTTTCCTTCGCTCATAAACCTTCTTTCTTAAACAATTTCCTCTCCTATTTTACAACTATATTCCTCCACCTCATTACCCTATTACGATCTCTCTACCCTATTACGATCTCTCTACCCTATTACGACCTGTCTAGCCTATTACTATCTCTCTACCCTATTACGATCTGTCTAGCCTATTACGATCTCTCTACCCTATTACGATCTCTCTACCCTATTACGATCTCTCTACCCCATTACGATCTCTCTACCCTATTACGACCTGTCTAGCCTATTACGATTTCTTTCCCCTATTACGTTGTCTCTACCCTATTACGATCTCTCTACCCTATCACTATCTCTCATTCTCTCTACCCTATTACGTTCTCTCTCCTATTTTATTCCTATTCTCGGTTTTATTCCCAGAAGCCATTTTCTGTGAGGTCCTCTTGGGTACAGTAAACTACCCACACTACGGCCATCCGGTAGGCTACAGTGTGTGTGTGTGTGTGTGTGTGTGTGTGTGTGTGTGTGTGTGTGTGTGTGTGTGTGTGTGTTAAAGATACATCAGGTTAGGTTAGGTTAAGTTAAGATTAGATTAAGTTCTATCAGATTACCTTACCTCAAGTTAGTGATTTATTAAGTTGTGTTAATCAATAATAAGTTAGAAGTAGATTAGGTTACGTTAAGTTAGAGGGAAGATTAAGTTAAGAGGTTAGGCTAATCAGGGTATGTTAGGAAACGTTAGATTAGGTTAAGTTAGGTTAGGTTAGGTTAGGTTAGGTTAGGTTAGGTTAAGTTAGCCTCGAGATTGATTAAGTCTAGTTAATTTAAGTTTGGTTAGGTTAGGTTAGGTTAAGTTAGGTTAAGTTCCGGGTCTTGTGTGTGAGAAAAGGTGGACGAAGAAGAACAACAAACGAAAAAAAAGAACAAAAAACAATAAGAGGAGGAGAAGAACAAGATAAACAAGAACAAGAACAACAACAAGAAAAGCGGGAACAATAAGAATAAAAACAAGAACCAAACAAAGACAAACAGTAAACACAACAAAACACAAGATATCAGACCTACCTACAGTTAGCTAGGCGAGGGTCTCTTAACAACTCACGACTGGGAGGAAATATTAACTGTTAATTAACTGTTAAAATTGGTTCTTACCTGTTAGTAACTCGTCGTCGGCGGAGGATTACACAGTCAGGTAGTGAACGTCATTTACAAGCTGTTGAATAGGAAAAAATAATAATATAAAAAAACTATTTATTCCGACTTACAAATCATATTTTCGGTAATTTTTTTTTTTTTTTTGCATTTAAATTAATCAAAATGAATTGTGTGTTTGTTATGTCGCTGAGGATTTGGTAATTAGTTATGTGGTTTTCTCTGGTTTTAACAATGTATTTGTTACCATGATTTAGAATGAGTATTTGTTGTCATGTCGGTGAGAGTGTGAGGTTACGTACGGTCAAGGCTTCAATATGACCCTAATAGTACCTCCTAGATCAACGTTAGTGTCACCCCATCACCCCATCACCCCACCCCCCTCCCCCTCTGCCACGTCCCCACATGATGAATAATTATACACCTGCTAGGACAGGTATATGTCCCCAGGGGTCATATTGCACCCCCCACACACACCTGCCCCCCCCCCACAAATACCTGTCCTCTCCCCCACACACACACCTGCCTACAAATGCCCTCCCCACACACACACACCTGTCCCCCACATCTGTCCCCCCACACAACTGCCCTAAACACACCCATCCCAACGAGCACACACACACACACACACACACACACACACACACACACACACACACACCGCAATAACTCTCACAACACTGCTCAGCTTTCACTGAAAAAAAGAAAAGTACACAACTTTCTTCCCAAAAATGTAAAACACACAAAAAAACCACTTTAATTTAGATAATGGTGTTGTATCATCAAAGGAAAGCCAGCCAGTGTCACGCACCAAACCCTGTGTGTGTGTGTGTGTGTGTGTGTGTGTGTGTGTGTGTGTGTGTGTGTGTGTGTGTGTGTGTGGCAATATAGCAATAATTAATAATAATATACCTGTATTATATAACTTCCCGGTATACAAAAGGCTGTGCCACACTGAAGTAATTAAACCCTTCCTCATTGAATCTTTATAGTAGTAAATAGTTAAACTTAAAAACAATAAATACAAAGAAATTTATCTTGGTTTTATCTTCACGTTACAGCCCCCCCCCTCAAGTGGGTACCTGGTATTTATTGTAAGGTTAGGTCAGGTTAGGTTAGGTTAGGTTAGGTTAGGTTAGGTTAGGTTAGGTCAGGTTAGGTCAGGTTAGGTCAGGTTAGGTTAGAGATCTTTTATGTTACGTTAAGGATCTGTTAAGTTGGATTAAGTTAGAGTTCTGTTAAGTTAGGTTAGGTACATTAATTTTTGTTTGGTTAGCATTTATGTAGGATTTTGTAGATTGCACTAGCCTTTATTTAGCGTTTCTGTAACTTTTGTAGTTTTCTGTAGCTTTACTGTAGAATGTTATTAGATTTTTCTTTGTAGTTTTATGTAGGGAGCTACCTAGCGTATCTATAACTTCTCTAGCTCTTCTCTCACTTTACTATAGCTTTGAAACTTTTCTATAGCTTTTAGTAGCATTCTTTTACGCTTTTTGTAGCTTATATTTAGCCTTTTTTTACCGTTTCTGTACCTACAGTAGCTTTTCTGTCACTTTACTGTAGCTCTGTAAGGTTCTTTAGCTTTTTTGTAGCGTTCCTTAAGCTTTCTCTGTAGGATTCTATTAGCTTTTTTATTGTATTACTTTAACTTTTTATAGCTTTTTTTAATCTTTTAGTAGCATTCCTTTAGCTTTCTCCGTAGCTTTTCCTTTAGCTCTCGCGTGACCACCATGGTAATTATCCCCCGCCTTAAGAGTCGTATTCATCACGGGGATAATAGCGATCATTATTGGGCATTATTTCTTATGTCTCTCTCTGTTCCCTACTCCTGCCTCCCTCACCTCCTTCCCCTCCTCCCAGTATTGTGTGAGGAGACTATAGATCTTAGTAACTGTGTGTGTGTGTGTGTGTGTGTGTGTGTGTGAAAATAATATGACTTTTTTAATTGTAATAATAATAATAATAGTAATAATAATAATAATAATCATAATCATAATCATAATAATAATAATAATAATAATAATAATCATAATAATAATAATAATAATAATAATAATAATAATAATAATATCATTTTCCTATGATTGCTGTTAAAGTATTATTATTATTATTATATATATATTATTAATGTGTGTGTGTGTGTGTAATACAAATAAAAAAGTCATATTATATTTTCTCTCACACACACACACACACACACACACACACACACACACACACACACACACACACACACACACACACACACACACACACACACACCATTAGAGCCTAGCCTTGGTATGAGATCGATCTAACCCCTTGTGCTGTACGCCCTCTAGACTATGTTAAGTGCCCACTTGGTCTACCAGGGCGGTAATGAAGGTTGGGGGAATGTGGTGTCGTGTTAGCTCACCTGACCACCTCCCTACCTGACCACCTCCCTACCTGACCACCTCCCTACTTGACCATCTCCCTACCTGACTCCCTCCTGCCCTGACCCCCTCCTGGCTTGGCTGATCGTCCACAACCACACACACACTTTGGTGGTTTACTTAACGGTTCATTTGTACTTCTTGACAACTTAGAAAAGAAGAAAAACCGTTGTGAATAAGAACATAAGAACATAAGAAAATAAGGAGTCTGCAATAGGCCGGTTGGCCTGTGCATGGCAGCTCCTGTCAAGAGTTACTACCACTCTCTATCATCCATGAATCTATCTAGCCTCCCTTTAAAACTTTTCAGCGTTCCAGCACTTACTACAAAGTTGCTGAGCTTGTTCCACTCGTCCACCACCCTATTTGTGAACCAGTTCCTTCCTATCTCCCTCCTAAACCTAAACTTATCCAACTTAAATCCTTTGCTACGAATCCTATCCTGCTCGTATTTTATAAGAACTTTATCTATATCACCTTTATTGATTCCTTTCACCCACTTAAATACTTCAATCATATCTCCCCGCACTCTTCGTCTTTCTAGGGAATGCAAGTTTAGTTTCTTTAACCTATCTTTATATGTAAGTGATTTCAGTGGGAAAAGGTGTATGAACGTTATGTTGATCTTGTTAAGTATTTCGCTGCTATATTTAAGTGGGAGAAAATAACAATCTGATTTTATGAGAGATTTTGTTATATTAGTGAAAAAGCAACAACTAATTTTAAGGTTTTGTTAATTTGGGATCAATAATAAGGCTAAATTTATCTATATTTCTACCTACCTTATTTCTATATTCTATTTTACACAATAAATCAATCAACCAAGAATCTAGTATGGTTGATTAGAAAGCTATTTTAGGGTTGAGTTTGCTAAACAATTATTATCTATTTTCAAACACTAATAATAATTGATTTTAGGATTAATTGTCAGGTATACATATAGAGAAGTTTACATAAGTCGTCAATATTATATCAAAGGAAACTTATACTTCAGGTTGTAAACTAGGATCATACCACAATGTAAACTGCCAGGATTACCACACTGTATACCAACACTCCCACCACACCACCACACAGTATACCAACACTCCCACCACACCACCACACAGTATACCAACACTCCCACCACAATAATTGATTTTAGGATTAATTGTCAGGTATACATATAGAGAAGTTTACATAAGTCGTCAATATTATATCAAAGGAAACTTATACTTCAGGTTGTAAACTAGGATCATACCACAATGTAAACTGCCAGGATTACCACACTGTATACCAACACTCCCACCACACCACCACACAGTATACCAACACTCCCACCACACCACCACACAGTATACCAACACTCCCACCACACCCACACTGTATACCAACACTCCCACCACACAGTATACAACACTTCCCACCACACTGTATACCAACACCCCACCACACCACCACACAGTATACCACACTCCACCTACACCACCACACAGTATACCAACCCCCACCACACCACACAGTATACCAACACCCCACCACACCACACAGTATACCAACACACCCCCACCACACCACACAGTACACAAACACCCCACCACACCACACAGTATACCAACACCCCCCACCACACCACACAGTATACCAGCACCCTCCCACCACACCACCACACAATACCAACACCCCCACCACACCACACAGTATACCAACACCTCCCACCACACCACAGTATACCAACACCCCCACCACACAGTATACCAACACCTCCCACCACACCACACAGTATACCAACACCTCCACCACACCACCACACATTATACCAACATCCCCACCACACCACCACACAGTATACCAACACCCCCCCACCACACCACACAGTATACCAACACCTCCCCACCACACCACACAGTATACCAAGCACCAACACCCCACCACACCACACAGTATACCAACACCTCCCACCACACCACACCACACAGTATACCAACACCTCCCACACACACAGTACACCAACACCCCCACCACACAGTATACCAACACACCCCACCACACCACACAGTATACCAACACCCACCACACCACACAGTATACCAACACCTCCCACCACACCACACAGTATACCAACACCTCCACCACCACACCACACAGTATACCAACACCCCCACCACACAGTATACCAACACCCCACCACACCACACAGTATACCAACACCCCACCACACCACACAGTATACCAACACCCCCACCACACACACACAGCACACCCCCACCACACCACACAGTATACCAACACCCCCACCACACCACACAGTATACACAACACCCCCTGCCACACCACACAGTATACCAACACCCCACCACACAGTATACCAACCATCCATGAATCTCAAACACAAAATGGAATAAAATTAACTAAATCTGCGCTCCTCCCACCACGTACCAAAGACCACTTAATTAACCAGTGTTCCGTGAGGTGGCGCGGCAAATTGAGTTTAAAGGGGCCAGGTAGCTAAAGTAACCTGGGTTAGGGTGGGGGGTGGGGGGGTAGGTGGGGGGTGAGGGGAGTGGGTGATGTCTCCTAACTGGTAATTACCTGCATGGAGTTAGGTAAAAAATATCTCAGTTCTTATTAACCAAACTTACGGTTAATTTTGTTTGTAAAATAAGAT